GCTATGTAGACTGTATATAGACTGTGTAGTGGCTGTGCATACTGTGTATCGTAATATATACTTTTTACAATATACCCCCCTGATATAATACCCCCCTGTTAAAATACCCTACCGCCTAATATACCCTACTCCTTACAAAATACCCACGGGTATAAATCAATTTTTAAATTAGGAAAATTGATTTATACCCGGGGTCTTTTAGGCAGTGCTCTACGGTACTCTAAATACTAAAAAAAAAAAAAAAAAAAAAAAAAAAAAAGATCAAAGTTAAATCATTTGTTCAAGGCATGGTTGAACGATGATAAATGGAAACGTAACTTCACAATAATTTGTATTTTTTGATAACAAATTTTTTAAATTTTTCAATCTTTTATTAATAATTTTTTTTTTATCCTAACATTTCAACATATAAAATAAATGAAATTAATAAATTAAGAAATTAACTCTCAACAGCTTCAATTGCTTAATATCATCGGCTGTTGTGAAATCCACCATCAATTCTAAGAATATTTCTTTGACGACGTTTATATATTAGAAATGCTAAAGCTACGAAAAACGCGATACCTATGATCCCACTTAAAATAGCAATTACAAGTTTCAATGTACTTTTATTATCCTCGTCTTTATTTAAATTAGATGAACCGGTTGGAATAGTATTATTGGATGATATGATTTGAGGAGGTTCAAATGCTTTAACCCAAGTAAAGTTTCTAATATCCATTAAATAAATATATGGATTTCGATATTCCAAAGGACCAGTATTGGGTGTAGTATATTTTCCTAATTTACAAATAATAATCAATTAATATTAAATTATAAAATGATTCGTTGTAAATTTTAAAAATTACTTACCAAATGCTACAATCATATAATTACCAATTAAATGGGCGGTATGAGCTCCCAGTGATGGAAATTCACTAATAACTGATGATGTTTGCGGAACAGTCCATATGAATGTTTTTAATTCCAAAATAGCCAAATCTGGTAATGCTTTGACAGCAACTTTATTTATATTATTTTTCATTCCACCAAATATAATAATTTTATTATCTGTTAAAACTGCTGAATGAACCGAACGAGCTCCTACATTAGCATCATTTCTTGCAACCTAGTATATAAAGGTAATAAAATCTAATTTTTAGTTAAATGAAGTGTAAGGTCATATAAATAATTATTTAGCTTACTTTTAATGACCAAGTACCATTCTTTGTATTATAAAGATTAATTTGACTTATATCTACATATGGGTCCCCATCTGCATCATCTCGTCCTTGTCCTCCGATGTAAACTATAACGCCATCAGGTAACATTGTAGCGGTGTAAAGCACTCTAGCTAAAGGAGCTCCCATTTGAGAAACAAATGACATAGAACTATTAATATCAATTATAGTCATATTATTTGTATAAATCCGTGGTAAGTTCATAAGTCCACCAAAAACATAAATTTTTCCAGAATCATCCCTAACTGCTTGTATGTTACCAAGTTCTAATGTTATGCCAGGTACACTATCCCATTTATGTGATTCGATTTCATAAGAATGTAAAGTTGTATTAAAGGGAATCCCTCCGATTAAGTATATAATAGAATTCTTTATATCGGTTGAAACTGTTCCCCATGCACTTTTAAAAGGAATGGGTGAAATCAACGAAAGTTCAATCCAAGGCGGATATGCAGCATCAAATGGTTGCGAAACATCAAGATAAAATATTTCGTTTGATGTTTCATTACCAATCGTCCCGCCAAAAAAAATATATTTTGTCTCCTACATGAATTGATGAGTGAGATGAACGTCCTTGTGGGGCAAATGAACTTGCTTTTAAAATAAAATCACCAAACACAAAAACATGGAGTAAAAATATTAGTGAAATCATAGTAAAAGAAATAATTTTTTATAAATAATTTAAATTAATTTGTAAAAGCTGCGAAAAAGTTGAATTCATTAAACGTGACGTTCATACTTTTTATACTTGATATTTAAATGTAAATGAAATCACTCAAAGTAAATACAAAAGTGTCGTACAATAAATTTTTTTTTTTATTGATGCAAGATTAAAATATTTATTCAAATTTAGACGTCATATGCATTTAGACAATATTATGAAAAGAAAAGACGTCATCCCTAAAATAATTGAACCAACCCAAAAAAAAAATCCATATCGTATCCTGTATCCCGGTTTAATCAACTCTTAAATTGTAAATATTAGAATATTATAAGTTATATAAATTATAATCTTCTCATTATATTTACAATTTTAAAGGATGATGTGAGGAATTATAAAAAAAAAAATTGATCTGCAAACAAAATTCATTTACTATATCAGACAGACAATGATCAAATAAAGCACTATTGTATTGTCTGAAACCCTGTGACTTTGTAGCGATTACACAGAATTGTGTTACAATATTTTATCTCATGAAACTAAGTTTGCCTAATGTTATGTATGTAACATTAATATAAAAAAAAAAAAATTTAGCTTTATAAAGAAAATACTTTTTTTTAAAAAAAAAATTTAAACTTTAGATGGTAATTTTTTAAAGAAAATTTCATTGTGCGGAAGACGTAAAATTTATATAAAATATTTAGTGTGGCAAATTGTGTATTACGCTAACATTTTATTAAAAAATAAAATTTTGTTAACAAAAAATAAATTCAGACAATTTTTAGGCGCACATCTTTCCAAAAAAGGCGGGTTAGAATTATATAATTCTGGGCGAACGCACAGTAAAAAATAAGCTTTTTAAATTAATATTATGATTGTTACGAAACTTTTTTTTTCACTTTTATTTATCTTCTTTCAAAATGTTATCAGTTAAAATTATCGGTGCACCAAAATCACTTTGGTGTATTACTAAAAACAATAAATCTATTTTCAAAGTCACCGCTGGAGTAGACAATGATATTTACGACCTTAAAAAAATTATTTC